GGGGGGCTCCACCCCTCTTCCCAGCGCGTGATGACGCAGCACGTAGTGACTCCCTGTTTTAGTCCTCTTCCAGAGAGGTTCTGGGTCTGGGGCGGTGTTCAGCCTGTACCTGTTTTCCAGCCTAGGAGGGGTGTGAGGCCAGATTATGCCCAGGCAAATTCCTTGCAGCCAGACATCAAGATGGACTAGGCAAAGAGCTTAGCTCCTCCTAGAGTTGAGTCACCTCATTTTTGGCAAACAATTACAGCGAGCTGGGAGATAAATACTTCAACTAGAGAGAGGGGAAGGCTCCAGAAATGCCCTACAAAGGCGAGGCCTTTAGGCTAAGCGCTTTACACTTCTTCCCTCCCACTTTTACTGTAGCTCCACAGTCGGCCATAAAATACTTTTCCTCGAAAGTAGCCTGGGAGTGTTGAGGCATCGCAGGATAGGTACTCTGAGTCTGGTGTGGTCAGAGTGGAGCTTTTGTTGGTAGTCTGGCAGAACCCCGGAGAAAAACTGGAACGGATATTAGGAAATTCTAGGAGCAACTCACAAAGCCTTGATGAAGAAGTTGCGCTTCAATCTGTAGGCAATGGAAGGCTTTTATAAAGGTTTCCTTTGGAAGATAATGTTCCTGCTGTCTTGGGAAAGCCACTGTGGGAAACGGTGAGAACTCTGTTACTGGGGAGCGGAATGGATGAAGAAAGAGTCGTTGGAAAATGGGTGAGGTGATCCAGGTGCAAGTCCAATGACAGCAGTGGGGATGAAGAAGAGAGGACTGAGGGAGAGAGCGGGTAGCCTCAGGAGAACAGAGGCAAAGAAGTGCATTTGGGGAGTCGGGGGTGACGGCAGAGATGATTTTGATTTGTTTTATAGAGTTGGAAGAGACATTAGAAGAAAGGATACATGACAGCAAAGGAAAAGGATGTATCCAGAAAACTAAGAGCCCCAAATGGCGAGGTCGTGGAGAAAGAGGAACCTTTAATCACTGTGGGTGGTTGTGTAAACTGGTCCAGCCACTGTGGAACTCTGAATGGAGTTTCTCGACAAATTAAAGACAGAACAACCTTATGACCAGCTATACTACTTCTGTGTACACACCTGAAGGACTCTCAGTCATAACAGCTTAAGAAGTGGGGACCTAGGTTACTTGCTCATCAGGACGTGAAATTTTAGTGGACCATGAAGGAAAATGAAATCACAACATTTGCAGGGAAATGAATGGAACTTGGAGTTACTATGTGAAGCATGGTGGACACAGAAGGACAAGTATCTTGTGTTCTCTCTCTTGTAGGTCCTAGAGTTTGATTTTTATACACGAGACTAGACAGGAGAACATGAAAAAGGAAAAGGAGCTCTTGTGGGGGTGAGAAGAGAAAATAAGAGGAGAAGAGAATACACTGACTTGAAACAGAGGAGGGGCTCCTGGGAAGCGGGAGGAGCAACAGGAATGGGCCAAAGAGTTGGGGGAGGCAACAGAATCAGAGTTTGAAAATGCACACATTTGGCTAAGTCCATTGAATTGTATGCTAATATTAGGAACAAACTTAAAAGTTAAAAATAATAACTTTCTCAACTATGTTTCTGGCTGAGTACTAATGGCATAAAATACCAGGAAGAAATTATCACCTTCCTAGGTTTGGAATATAGCTAAGGCATCTAAGAAAGGGTGTTGAGTGCACCAGCTCAAGAAGGACAAACTGGAGCCGTGGTTTAGAGGCCATTGGCTGGTGGACAAGTAAAGAAGAGAACACGGCAATGCCATGTGGACCTGTGAAAGAACTGCAGGACTGACCTCTGAAAACTCCAGAACCCCACATGGAAGAACTGGGTCCACTGGTGGAGCCAAAGGTGAAACAGCCCTGTAATGTCCTCTACTCAGAAACCTGAGACAAGAGAACCAAGACCCAGAGGCCAGTCTGAACTAAATTAGAAAGCCCCATTATTAATTATTAATTAAAAATAATATGGGGTTGGTTTTATGGGGTAATGGGTGCTTCTTCTTCAGGAAAGGGGAGCGGCAGCTGACTCTGTAAGAAAGACAAAGGGCAATAAGGAACGGTAGATATTAGCAGGAGAGCCGGGCCCGCGCCAAAGCAGAAACAAGGTCAGGGCTGCCGTGGACATGCTAATGGCCAAAGCAATGCTTCAGGCCCTTTGTGGCTCACACCTGTACTCCCAGCACTTGGTGTGCTGAGGCAGGACAGTGTCTGAGGTCAGTCTAAGCAACAGAGTATGGTTTTTATCTTAAGGGGGGGGGCATAAAAATAAATGCAGAATTTCTGAGTGCTCCCGTGTCCATACTGAGCCAGACTCTGACTATTAAGGCCTTCCAGGTGATCCAGCTGTTTGAGAATGAGTGCTGTGTAGTAGGTGGAGGGAGAGGGGACATACCAATGAGGCAGAGTCCACTGATAAAGTTCACAGTGAAAATACAATAGGCAGGGACGTTTAGCCTGAGCTGCAGAGGAATGGGTATGCCCTGTGGTTGGTAGTTTTGTTTTAATTTAGTTTTAGAAAAGCATGCATTAAAAGTGGTCTGGGAAATGGCAACAGGAAGGTGGGACATCAACGCATTGTCCCTCATACATGTCCCTCCCAAATAATCCATCACCACTGGGGGAACATACAGGAAGTAATAAATAAATGAATGGATGAGAAAAGAAAGAAAGAAAGAAAGAAACAAACAAACAAAGAAACAAAGAAAGAAAGAAGGACTACTTCTAGAGAAAACTGTTCACATTGATCAGCAAATCAAGGACAAAAACCAAACATCTCCATGCTGCCATTTCTTCCAGTCCTTCATCCACAAAGACGAAATACACAGTCATTCTATGACAGCATGCTTTAAGTGGAAAAGAATAATTTCCACTTTGCATAGCAACCTAAGGTGTAAAACACACACAAAACAGCCATTGACTGGTTCTGTCACTGCTCCTCCACAGGAAGGGGTTGTACTAGACTCTTAGTGGGTTTTTCGTTTGTTTTTAAAGTCATTTTTTAAATGGTGGTTAGCCCTATCTTACTTTCTGCGTTTGACTAGCGCATTTTACAGGAGTCATATCGTGCTATGTTCTCATATTCAGTCTTAGGTAATAAATTTTTGTATAGCCAAGATTAGCGGTCTAATGTTCACAATCAAATTTCAGAAATTCATTTCATTTCAGTAATGACAGTATAAAGTTCCCTTAATAATCAGTGGGCTGATAAGGCCAGTCTTCCCTGTGAGGTAGTAAAATCAACAATGTAACACGGCTGATACTTTCTAGCCAACAATGCTTTCGAGTACCACTGCAGAGCATGGCTCTTAAATTGTCATGTGTGGCCCCTCACAAAGATACTTTGTTTTCTGTCATCTAGAAACATGTTTTTTTTCTTGCAATAATTTGTAAAAAAAAAAAAATCCATTAACACCCAACTACTTCACCAAATATGAGAACAGCATGTTTTAGGAATATTATAAATATAGTTCTTCTATAGGGAATGAAAATAACTAAAATAACCCTAAGCCAATACTGTCTCAATGCTTGTATCCATTCATGTTGCTAATATATTGAATTTCTGCAAGAAGTCAGACACTGTGTAATACACTAGCAATAACAGATTCCCTAATAGAACCTACCTTGTCATAGAAGAACAATTAATCAAGTAGTCATGTGCATACATATGTAAATGTGTTCATGATGCATGCTCTTGGGAATACTATGGGATGTGTCACAAGTGGGTTTGATTTGTTAGGGGCAGTCCTCTGAAGCAGACGAACTGAGTCTCGCAATAGGAATGGGCGTTTTGCAAGTGTAGAGGGGAAGCTATTTCAGGCAGAGGGACGTTTGGAACACTTGCTTTTTTGCTCCTCTTCAGTTCTGTATCTCTTTACCACCTGCCACACTTTTCTATTTCTCCGGTGACACACCTTAGGTGTTTTCTTTGTTTGTTTTGCTCTTTATGGATCGTAGTCCCTGACTTCCAAACTGTGTAGTGAGGTGACTGAAATGACCAATTCAGAGAGGAACTGTGTTAGATAGATATTTAAATTTTGAAGGCCAGCATTAGTGAGATCACACCGCACACACAACTAACTTGAAATAGTCCAAACTTGAGCATTTAACTACTCTGTTCCTCTGCCATATTGGTGTGAGGCTAAGTTTCTATACACTGCTATCATAAAACACAACGATAAGGAATTATTGTGGAACACAAAATTGTTTGCTCTGTGATTATAAATAACATACTGCACAGATGAATAGCCTAATAAGAATGAAATAAAGCTTCTAATGGGTGTCTATTATTTTTCATATAGCTTCTATGTTGGAAGACTTCTAAGTTCTTAGACATATATGAGATTGAAACTAACTACTTAATAAATTCAACCGCTTTTTCTTTTGCCTACAAGTCATGTAAAACTTAATGGATACTCTTAAATTATTGTAAGGAATATAAAGTGTAGAAAATCCTGACATTGTTCAGCTCTTCACTTAAGAAGCGAGAAACTTCAGGCCCAAAGAGACAAGTTTAGATTCTAGGGCTTGTCAGTTCTGCTGTTCAAATCAGTTCAAATACAGCTTATCTTT